AAAATAAATAAAGTTCAAAGACAGGCAAAACTAAATAATATATTATTTATAGATACATACATAGGTGGTAAAAACGTATTAAGAGAAAAAGGAATGATTACCCCAAAATTTGGAGTAGAAGGGAAAGGAAACAGAATGAGAAAGACATATATCAAAGCTTCAGAAACACTGGAAACATACTATTTGTTAGTTGAATGGTAAGTATATTGTTATTTATAATTTTTAAGTTTTATATATACTTTTGTATGCATGATACATTTCAGAATTTTTAAGAAAGATAATAAAAAGTTTAAAAATGAGTTTTAAAAAAGTGGTCCTAGGTTTACAGATTAATATCCCAAATTTGCTACTTAATAACTAAGTGACCTCAGACAAGTTATTTTCTGTGCAGCTCAGTTTCCTGATCTGCAAAAATGGGGAAACTGAGTCTCACAGAGATTAACAGTACTTCTAATATCTACCTCTTAAGATTATTATAAGGATTAAATGAAATAAAATAAGTGAAAGCTCTTAGAACAATTCCAGGCACATAATAAGCAGTTAATAAACATTAATGTTTCCATTATTTTTATTATTATAGCAGATATTTAATAAGTGCTAATTTCCCTTCTGTCCTTTCAGAAAGAGAAGAGGAACCAGTACAAATGAAGGTCCATTGTAAATTCCAAGAAGAATCAAGAAGAATCATTAGTGTTTATAGCTTGCTGCATTAGTACTGTATTTCTTCAGTTCTATATTCACATTTTGTGGCATTTTAATGGTCCTAAAATTGGGATTGCATGATTTAATCAGTGTGATTTCATACAGGTTTTTCCCTCCTAGAAACCTCTTATTAAAATGAAGATGTGGCTTACAATTGATTGTGTCTCAGAATCAAGGAAATAAAGAAATTATGCTGTTGCCATAGCAGGCATGACAGTTTTAAGACAAGAATAGATAAGCAACTAGGGGGTAGAATCCAGGCGTTGGATTTTTTGTGTTACAGCAAATCCACCACCTTTGGTCATAACCTTTAAAAGATTGTGAGCTTTCTGTTAGTAACCTGATTGTCCCCAGACCTCTGCAGCCTATGGATATAAGTGAGTCAAACTGCTTTGACCCCACATTTTGCTGGTTCTAAACTCTTAGTGCTAAACTTAGGACTTAGATGCTCAAGACTTAAGTACCACCACCCCTAAGTCTCCCCAGTTACTTCTTGGAGTCCTCAATGCTCAGGAACTGCCCTCCATATGCCTCTAATCTGTTCTCTGTAAATATCCAGCCTGTGCCCCATCCTTGAGGGAAAGTGTATCCCCTGGTACTCAAAATGTGAACATCCTCCAGATAAATATTTCTGCTTAGTTAAGAGTCAAGTAATCTGGGTCCCTAATAGACATTTTAACAGCAGCCTATGCCTTTGTTGAAACTACATGTAATTCAGGAAGTGTGTTGGCTGGGGAGGAGAGTGATGGTGAGAAGCAAGTCTCAATCCTGTGTTTTTACAATTCCTTGTTTCCTTTTAAGGAATCCTCCTAATTTCTAGATCCTGACGAGAAAAATACCAAACCCTGGGTTCCCTGGCAGCACACAGCCTATTCCCACCAGCCCACAACTAATCAAATATTTCTTAGCTCATGTGATAGCTTCACCCACATTCTTCTCTTAGATGATTCGCACTGTTGCTCCTAGGACTTTTTTCCTAACATGCTATCCTCCAACATGCAAGAAGGGGAAAAAAAGGCAAAAGTTCTGGGAAGGGAGAATCTGTTCTTCCAACTTTCCTCATCTAATGGAAAAAGGGAATGAGAACACCATCTGTTCATACTGTTCTTCTTAATATTGCCTTTTATTTAGTTTATTTCTTGGGCTTCTTTGCTCTTTATCTTCAGTTAAGAGGGCAGTTTCTAGTTCAGGGTCTGGGAAAATTCCTAGAACCACTAGTGTTTCTGTAAGCATCAAAGGAAAAGTCCATTCTCCGGAACAAAATCGTGTTTAAAAAGCCATTCTAAGCTTTGTAGGTCTTTATATCTACAGCCTTCATGTTTCCAACAAGAAGAATATTCATTTTATCTAGGGAGGTTCCTATACCTTTTGATCATTTTCCTTTCCCTTCTATCTCCCCACCTCCGTGTCATTCTTCTTCTTCCTCTGAGGACCTACATACAGAATTACCCCTAACAAGCCCCTTTATCCATACATACCATCTCAGGCAGGTGAACACTTGCAGGGAGGAGGATACTAGTTCTTCAGATTCAACTTGATTCTGAATTTTAACTCCTTCCCCCCGGGGGAAACCGCCTGCAATTATATACACCACCAAAGAGACTAAATAACTCTCCAATTTAATGATAAGGTCCAATTTAATATCCTGATAGTATGTTTGGGCTTCAGAGAGGAAAATCCTATTCTGTAATATATATAAGTAGTATTTTTTCAGTTAATTAGTCCATGTAGAAAGGCTGCTGAAAGGAAATGTCATTCTGGTCCTAAATGAAGATCAGGTCACCTCAACTACTGAAATATGAGGATTCTTATCAATAACCCTTGCAGCTGTAAACTACAGCAAACATTCCCATTCATGCTAGAGAATATCTATGGGAAGGGTGCATATATTATTGATGGAGCTGGGCTATGATGTGAGATAGTAGTGAAAATAATCTGCAAACTGAAATCAAATATAATATTATGGTTTTCCACAGGAAAAGCCCAACTACTAATTTTCCCCTCCTACTTTTGAAACATTCTAACTGGATTAGGTTTTCAACTATATGCCTTATTTTCAGGCTCAATTGAATATTTAAACATTTTTCCTAGTATTCAACTAAAATGAACAAAATATTAATGGTAGTAGTTCTGTCATAATAGAAATAAAGCCCTAGAGAATTCGATATGGTTAAATCTAGCAGTGCAAATGGCTGGACTACAGGGTGAGTTGTCAGTTCTTTAGAAGCAATCTGAACCACTGATGCAGATTATTTTACAAAGCTGATGTAATCAGGTAGCTCCATATTGAACTTTTATAACAGAAGAAGTAAAATGGTTAAAACTGCTGACACTGGTACAAGTCCCTAAACATTTCTAGACTCAAGCATCAATTACTACAATCTCACTTCTTCCACCCCCAAACTACCCAGACCTGGTGAGAGGTATGGCTTTGCATTTACACTCAATTTTCAATAATTTATTTATAAAACATAACATTCAGGTTTCTAAACATTAATACAATTATCATTTTGTTGTATCATTTACATTTATAAAGGATTGACATAAATTCATCACCCTTACTAGAAAAATAATTCAAAGTTAATTTTTTACTAAAATGGATCAATAATGTCTTCCTTGGAAACAAAAGACAGCAAACCATTGTAGGATTAAAAATAATTTTCAAGCTCTTTCTCCATAAGTTACTGAATCAAATATTTTGGCTGTTTTTAGTACCTAAGTGGCATCAAAAAGCTTTCAGTTCCAGATTAACAGTTTTGTGAGCCTTTCTGTGTAATATGGATTATTTCATTGTCCAATCTAGAGACATGAGGTTCTAAAATCATGGGGCAATAATTTGGTTATTATAAGTTTATTCAAAGAGTTGGTTAGAATTACTACAAATTACGTGAAATTTCATTTGATCTATGTTTTCAAGATACATGTGTTTGTTTTGTTTCAAAACAAAACAAAATTTATTTGTTTCAAAACAAAACAAAATTTGTTTCAAAATATGTGTTTGCTGAGAGAACCAGGTCAATTTTGCTATGAGGGAACTCATTATTCCACCAAAAAGAATCAAAGCTTAACAGAAGTTTTCATACTTCGAACTGAAGGGCGAGAAAGCATAGAAATAAGAAAACAGGCAGTGAGGTTGGTGGCTGAAACAATTCAGAGAAGTATAATCAAGTGCAAGTTCAAATCTGGTGATTTGGAATCTCAACTTGGAATAGACAATGTGTGTTTCACATTATTTGGCTTATTTCAGGGTCTTCTTTACCCTTCAACCACAGTTTTGTAAGAAGAGTACTGGTTTAGAGCAGAACATTCCTGAAACTATCAGTGTTTCTGCAGGCAATGGAAGAAGAGTCTACCCTCTGGAACAAAACAGTTTTTAGGCAGTCCTTGCTGCCCTTTTCAGGCCAGCTGCCTTTATACATATAGCCAAATCCCTCATCATCCTTCATGTTTCCAATAAGGACAATCCTCATTTTTTAATCTAGGGAGGCACATACTCCAAGATAAGAAAATAATAACTACTGAATATATGAAAGGGTTATTTAGTATAAATTCAAAGGTCTGAAGTTGGTTTGGATTTCCAGCTAGATGCTTCATTGTAGCTACACAAACATGCGTATAGCAAATTGCTGAAATTTGCTGAGGATTGTATCAGCTTCAGGAAGATCATGCTTGCAAGAACTACCAGAATATCCAACAAAACCACTAAAAACTAAGATTTGCTCAAGGCTATTCCCTGGGAAAGGGCAGCCAGGCAATGAGCTAAGTGATATCTGACCACCTGCCCTCAACGGATTGAAGTCCTGATTTTTCCACTGTACAAATTACCAGCTCTGAATAGAAACAAGAGGTATGGTGGGCTGGCATCTTGACAGTTCCTGCTAAACTATTACTACTTTACTGTGAAGAGTACCTCCCACAACTGATAATCATTTATGTGGGTAGGCATGCCTTCGGAAATGTAAGTGGATGCTTGGAAAAGAAAGAAAATGCAGCTACAATACTGAACAACCATGCACTGTCCATTTGCAAATGTCTTATTTTTTCTCTACTAAATTCTCACAGTACAGCAGCCTTTGCTTTTATTAAGCTTAAACTTGACACAACTATTATGGATTTAGCCATTCTCCTTCCTTTTCTCTCTACAAAATAACAGGGAATTTTGACTGGTCAGACTCTCTTTCTGAGTTCTGCTATCCCAAGTCTCTGCCACTGTCGATACTTCATGCCATGGGAGCACCGCTGGACTTAAAAGAGCTTTGTGGAGCCTTAAATACAGTTTATGAGTGGTTCTAAGAGTTTCTCAAGCCCCTTTGGGAACCTGGGAGGGTACGAGACCAGGAGTTCTAGACTCCTTGTCCCACTGTGGGGAAGTTTTAATTTATTTTACGTATGGGGCTTTGTCATAAATTTCTGTTAGCACAAAAAGTTCAACTGATTTTCAGGGGTTTAAAAATGGCAGTGTGGTAGAAAGAGGTCCGAAAGGGGAGTCAGACTTGGTTCGAAGGCTGTCACCTACTGAGACAGAGGGAAAACATACCTCTCCTCCCTGATAACTGGCGGCAGTACCTACCTCACCAGGACGTTGTGATGTCGAAACTATGAGCGTGGGAGGTACAGCGGCTGAGCACGGGTTCCACCCTCTGCCGTCTTCAGGCAGGAAGTCCCACCTCCGTGACCCCAACCCAATCCTAACCCTCCATCCCACCCGGAAGTGGAACCCGTGGACCAAGACATCCACTCCACACGCCAGGACATCAACCCACCGGCCAAGATAGCCTTCCACCGGCCAAGATATGGATCCATCCCACCCAGAGTCCCACCCCACCAGCCAAGAGTCTGACCCTGCAGACCTAGACTTCGACTCTGTTGACCAAGATTATTTCTCTTCTGGCCACAAGTTCGACTCTCTCTACCAAGAACTGGACCTGGACTCTCTTAATGAAGATCTTCTTTCTCAGTCTATGCCAGGCGCCATGACAGTGACCTCTGTGGGCATATATGAATCCCACTCAATAGCCAAACTAGAGGATCTCACAGAGGCCATGCAACGGGAGCTCAAATCTGACTCACTAAATTGCAAGCAGAAATTGTAACCCTACGCCATGTGCTGGCAGCCAAAGAGAGACACTGCATGGAGCTTAAGAGGAAGCTGGGCCTTACGGCCTTTGTGGAACTGATGCAGAATCTGTCCAAGAGTTGGCATGATGTTCAAGTCTCTAACGCCTACATGAAACAAAAGACATCAGCTGCCCTGTCCACCATGGGCTCTGCCATCTGCAGGAATTTTGGAGACATGAAGAAGTCAGCCACATTCAGATCCTTTGAAGGTCTGATGGGGACAATTAAGTCCAGGGTCGCAGGTGGCAGACAGCTTGGCAGTGACTGCCTTCCTTTCTCAGTGGGAAGTGGGGATGATCCACCCCCAGTTTCAGGGAGTACAGATGACCTGCTCCCAGTTTCAGGGAGCAAGAATGATCCAGTTCCAGGGAGTAAGGAAGATCTACTTCCCTTTCTGGAGCCAGAATGAGCTTCCTCATAACCCTGCCTGGCCACCTAACCAATGCAAGAACTCCCTTCCCTAATCCCAACTGCACTCTGCCCACCAGAAACAAGCAACCAAACTACAGTGGTAAAGTTAATTCAGGAAATGGACAGAGTTCAGTTGTGAGAAATTAATGCCTATTTGTATACAGATATTTGCTGCTGTTGAGATAAAGAACCCAACATTTTGTACCCAGTTATTTTACACTAAAGTTTGTAGGTGAAATGTGTCACTATACTAGCCTTCCTGGGGTTGCATTTTAAGGGATAGGACAATAGTTTCAGAGGGATTTTAGGACAAAGCTAAAACTCTTTTTTTGAAAACCAGTGTATCAGAAGTCCAAAGCAGGTTTCTGTTTAGAACTAGGAAAAGGTATGAAATAATCTGTAATTTTATCCCCTCCCTACTTCCTTCCTTCCTTCCCTAAATCTCAGAAGGAAGCTTGAAAGCTCTACCTGGACTATGACTTTTGTTTTAAAAAGATGATCAAGAAAACTGTTTTTTTTTTCTCTGAGACCCTCAGAAAGGGGGGAAAATATTAATAGACTAATTGCTACATAATACTATGACTTTTATAAAACTTGATTTTTTGAAGCTCCTAATTAAGCAAAGTAACTTTAGCTTCAATTTAGGAGATTGTTAACTACTCTGGACTCAAGCTGAAATTGCAAGTTTATTTTGCCTTGTACTTTATAACCTTTTTATATATCAAAATGAGGGTTTTATAACTTAATCCCTGTGGCAGCATGTCTCTGCCACAGCAGGGCATGCCACCTAAAAGAAAGAAAATTGTTTCTCTGTTCTGCAGCAATTCCTAGTTAGTTATCACCTCCAGCTGAAGGACTGGAGGGAAAACAGCCTAGCCACATTCTAGAAAGATAAACTCCTGTCTTAAGTGACATTTCAAAACAGAATGTCCATCCCCTATAATTCTGGCCATTATGTCTTTGAATAGACCTAACTGATTATACATCACTGGTCATGTTGACTCCAAGTTTGCCCTTATTTATAGCTAACCCCAAAGGAGAAGGAAACAGAACCCCACCCTCAGGGGACATCAGGATAGTAGCACCCTGTAGGAATCTGTTTTGGGTTTGTTTGAACTTTCTTAATCTGATTTTCACAGGAGCTATGTTTTGGGGTATTTTTTTTTCTTTTCCATTTTCAAAACGCCAGGACCTGGCAGCTTTTTTCATTCCTCCAGTCACACTGCCTGAGTTAAAAATTTGTGTCTTATATTGGCTTTTAGCAAGGGGACTAGGATTTTATTTGCTTGGGTGTATATACTGATAATGTCTCACTGCCTAAAGGTAGTCCCTACATCCTAAGAAGGTGAGCCTGTTTTGTTGATTTTGAACGCTCCTCCTATATTCCTTTGGTTTTCCTAAAGCAAAACCAAATACCACTATAAATGCAAAAGCACTTGATAAACTGTAAATTTACTGATATAAAGTCCACAGATTTCTGAAGACAAAGTTTTGCCTGGATTAAAATAAGATGCTCAACTATTTTACATTTTGTGTTTTAATTTGCTGTGGTTTTCTATGCTGAAGAACTAGACACAAACTTGCAGCATGCATGAAGCCAAAGTAGCCCAACAGGCAAATGCTTTGACCCCATATTGCAGAAAGCCTTCTGTTAGACAAAATCTCAGGCTGACATCATGGGCCAAACCCAGAATATGTTCTATTTTATTTAGTCATTCGAATAAATGCAGTAACAGTTTCCCCCAATAAATCCTCAACTCCTTGAGAGCAGTAAAGAACGTAACTATTTTTGTTCATCATTGTATTCCCACACCTGCCTTAGGGTAGATGATCAATAAATACTTGTTGAGTAGTTAATGAAGGAATCAGTATCACATACTTCAGACATCAAATCTTGGATCCAAGAGATTATCAACAACATGAACTTGTTGACAGTTTCCTCCTGCTTTTGAAGCATTACATTTCCCTACTCAAAGACAATTTGAGACCCTACTATGTGTCAGGCACTGTGCCAGGCTCTGAAAGCACAGAAATCAATTAGACATGGCCCGTGCTCTCTAGAAAAAGATTTTCAAATCATTACAATTCATTGCAGTAGATGCTAAAGTAGAGGATATCTGTAAAGAAAGGGTGTTCAACTCTGCCTTGATAGGTCAGAAAAGAATACAGAGAGGCAGAAAGTCGTAGAAGACAAGTAGGAATTTGCCAGACATACAAGAAAAGAACATTCCAGACAATATCCAGAGGAACTAAGTCATGAAGGAATGTAATAGAATGGCATGTTCCAGGAATACCAATAAGTCATTGTGGCTAGAAAGAGAGGGTAAGTGGTGAGAGATGAGGATGGAGAAATAAGCAGAGACAAGACCATAAACAGTCTTTAATGATATCTGATATGAGTATTTAATCCTGTAGGAAATGAGGAGGCATCAAAGTTACTTAAATCAATTTCATTTTTAGATGGATCACTCTGGTCACTACAGAAATAGACGTTGAAGTATTTAAGAGATAGAATCTCCAAGACTTAGGAAACAACTGCATAGGGGAGAGAGATAGATAGATTTGCAAGTTGATAAAGATGTAGAATTTAAAAGACTTGATACTGACAATGCTAGAGCTTTGTTTTCAATTTGCTTTGGCTTTTTTATTGGATTCCTGCATACCTGCATCAGCAGCTATGGACATCAACTAAAATGCCTTATGAGCATGTGGACTCTGGATCAAAGTTTTCCTCCAGATTTTCTTTCTTCCACTTGCTCTACCCTTCCCCTGCATTGCTGACCCTCCTTCTCTAGCCCGTCTACCTTCATAATTTGATCAATTCTGCCCATCTAGCCCTATTTGGATTTTGTAACCTAACCTCAGTCTATTTAACTTTAACTAGACCACTTAAGGATGCAATTTCCAATAATCCTCAGAATATGCAAACCCTCAAAGATGCCCCATCTGATTCAACCCCTGAGAACCACTGGTTGGGAGTGATGTTGGAAAAAAATTCCGAGACTCTCAGTTTTCTTGGTCTTTCATTGCCCATACGAGAAGGGGGTTGGGGTGGAAGGTAGAAACAAGCTTGAAAGTTCTTACTCCCACAGATGATACTCCCCATGTAGCTGGCAAGAATGGAAGCAGAGTACCAAGCCCTTGAACAAGCATCAAACATACCCCAACATATTACAAGCATCACTCCCAGAGAAATTCACCTGCACTTCCGGAGACTACTTTATTCTAAGCTCCAGATTGGAGAGAAATTATATCACGTATCTCCTCTCAGAATGTGCACAGACTGCAGAGAAGTGGGCAGTGATTCAGAACTGTAAAGGTCTTTTGACAGTGCTAGGCAATGTGCTTGATAGCCCTACCTATCAAGGGGAAAATGATGCCACTTGTTGACTCTGATAGGGGATGAGGTCATTTGCATCTGGGCCATGGGATTTCAGTTGTTGCCCATGAACTCCAATGTAAGAAAAAATGGTAAGTACCACTCTATCAACTAAGGCCTCCATGTAATTACTATCTGAGACCACTCCTGCTGACTAGACCAATTGGTGGGAGGCTCAGTGATGCTATGACTTCCAGTGCCTGGAATCTCATTCCCATAAGACAAGTGACAAATGGAAGAATGCCTTCCTGATAATGTACCATGGTCAGCTACTATGACACATTATCATGGCACTTGGTCATCTCTCAGAAGTTACTAAGAAGGACCCTAAAACATTAAAAAAAAAAAAGTCTGGTAATTCCTGAGAGATCATCTAGTAATTTAAAAGTTCATTCCCTGTTTACCTACTATACTACCACCCAAATACATGACCACCTCAAGAAGAGAAGTGGGTCATTCTAGAAGTTGAGGGTTTTGGTCACCTCTACCCGAGTCCTGGCTACCAGGTCTCAGACCTATAGCATTAGAACTGGTAGCTAAGTGGAGAAAAAATGATTACTTAACTCAGAGGGATAATTCATAGACCTGGCTGAGCCAAAATTTCTTTTTAGAACATTAGAAGTAAGAGATGAAAAGACTCAATTAGATTGAAACTGATCTGTACCATCATATAGATATGGGCTGGGGTTTTTTGTTTTGTTTTTGGAACATATCCAAACACAGAAGGGAATCTACTGTAAGGAGACCAGAGCAGTTCTACAGAGAGTTGCCATGTGACCACCTAGTCAGGGCTGAGGGCAGGGTACAATTTCAAAGAAGTGAATGTGAGCTGGGCTGTTATGCCAAAACTTAACCACTACAGAAATGCTCTCTGATACTCCTCAAGTCCCACGTCCATGTCAGAAAAAAAGAGTCATCTGGGTTTTTAAGGTGACAGAAATCACTTACTCCTTTTAGGGAAGTTATAGATCATAGGAGCAGTCTTGGGAACTACTCGGAAAACTAGGGAGACCCTGGTACCCTGGCCAGGGAAGAGGAGAAACCTCTGCTCCTAATATACTGTTGATTTTTATTTATGAAAGAGTTTATTTGCTTATTCAACAAATATTGAGCACCTACCATGTACCAGGCACAGTTTAGGTGCTAAGGATTCAGCAGTGAGAAAAAGACAAAAGATCCTTGACTTCATAGAGCTTACATTCATATGAGGAAAAAAATTAAATGATAAAAAACACCCATGCATCTACCACACAATTTACAACCCAGAATAGCTATTTCCAGAGGCTATGAACACTTTATAAGATGAAACTGATTCCTTCTTAATTAGTTTGGGTTCATAACATGCTTAGCCTCTCCTTTTTATTTTTCATGTTTTAACTTGATAGTATGGCTTCAAATATCCTAATATTGACTCAGAAACCTGTATTATAACCCAGGCCAACTATGCTTTTGATAAACTGGCTACAAACCTTCAGGGGTTATTACTACTCCTTCAGATACCAAAATTCACTAGAATGACTTACAGAACTCAGGAAAGCCCTACAGTTATGACTACAGTTTTATTATAAAGCATACAAATCAGGATTGACCAAATGAAGAGAGACACAATGAGATTTGGGAGGAAACCTGAATCTTCCATGTCCTCAGGATGCATCATCCTCCCAACACATCCATGTATGATTACCAACCTAGCAAACTC